CGTATATATACGCCCTTACAAAATACTATCAGTTGGTTTGCGCTGCTACCCGTTAAACTATCGCAACTTTTGGAATGCAACACCAGAATGACCTTGACGAAGTATGTGAGGAGGATATTATTTCAGAGAAGTGGGGAGAAATTGGAGAGAGGGACGTGTCTAAAGTGCTGAAAATAATGACTGCGTGGTATTGGCTAGTGGTTGTTTTGAGTAAACGTTTTTTTTTTTTTTTTTTTATTCTGTGTCCTCCGTTTTCGTTTACTTTTGTAGTAGGTTCCAGGAATAAAGAAAGATATAACGGATGTTTCAAACTCATTTATCTTTCTTGAATATTTTTTGATTGAACTGCTCGTGCTTTATATTACTACTGAAAGTAAACCGTTTTGTAGATGAGTATATGAACCAACAACACCTTGCAAACGAAAAAATCAAGAACAATATCGTGGCATTCAACCAATTCAGAACAAATATATGTTTTATAGGCATACTGATTTCACAAGGTATATAACACTGAAACATGATATTACACTTTACTGGTCTAAAAATGAATTGATCGAAACCCCATTATAGGGACCTTTTTTATTATAAAAACATCATTTTTATTATACTTACATCTTTTATTATATTTTTACTCAAAATATTAAATTTTGTGCATGCATTTTTTTTTTACTGTTATTTTGTTTTTGTGAAACTAAACAATTTTAGAAAGTAAAACTTGCTCTATTTTCCCCCTAATAAATAAATCGCATAACTACGCGCGGATATGTGAAAAACCGTGGCACTGGGGAATGAATCTTGTACATTTTCCGCAGCAGTTAAGGGGTTAATTCATAACTGTTTAGTGCAGTGTACAGGGACTAGCTTTAGCATACTTGTTCACATTTTGTTGCTGCCCTACTGATGAAAGATAGTCAAAATTCCTATTACAGCAATCATGCTCAAATGCAACAGCAAAGACCAAAGTTTAGTGACTTTGCAAAAGATATTTTACACAATAAATTATAATAGCTTGCTTCAATACTTAATGAAGAAACTGTCGCTACAAATCACAAAATTCCACATTTTACTGTACCCTGTGTTTGAGTTTTCTAAATTCAAGGGCAGTACATAAATAAATTTAAAATTCAGTTAAAATAACACTAATACACATTAAGCTAAAAGTATTAGGTTGTCCGAAAAATAATGCAGGTTTTTAACCTATATCTTTAAAGTATCATAACTAGAAAACAATTTTATTAATTAAAATAAGCACCAGCCGAATCAATGCATTTTTGCCAACGAGATATAAGTTTATTTATGCCGGTAGAATAAAATTCTGGAGTTCTGGAAGCGATAAAGTTGTCAAAGGCGTTTTTGACCTCGTCTTGGTTCCTGAAGCATTTCTTCTGCAGAATGTTATCCAGATGTTTGAAAAAGTGGTAATCAGTTCGCGAGAGGTCAGGCGAATATGGGGGAAGAGGGAGAGTCTCGCATCCAAATTCGTCCAATTTCTGTAGGGTCAGTTGCACGATGTGCGGCCGAACATCGTCATGGAGAAAAACTGGCCGCTTTCTGTTGACCAATGCCGAGGACATGCAATCTTTGGAGCATTTCATTAATTTGCAGACAGTACTTGTCTGCCGTAATCGTTCACCCCGATTTAGGAAATTGTGGTGGATGAGACCGGACTCAAACCACCAAACAGTCACCATAATTTTCTTTTGGTGCAAATTAAGCTTTGGAAAGTGTTGTGGTGTCTGACTGTGGTCCAACCACTGAGCACTGAGCTGAATGTCACGAAATGTTGGAGAGAATCCACTTTTCATTGCACGCACCAATTGGATCAAGAAATTAAAAGGCATTTTTGTTGCGGAGAAAAAGAGCAGACGACAATTCAAAATGGTGATTTTTTAAAATTTTTGCTCAATTCACCCACTTATCGAGCTTCTTTGACTTATCTATATGATTCAAACGATCAGAAATCATTATTTTGCTTACGCCAAGCTCTTGAACAGTTAGGCCCCGTTCAGACGAGGGCGTAAGGGGCATAAGTGGTTAAAGCCGAGGTCCGTTGCCAAGGCAACCAGTCTCTGCTACGTCACAGAATCAGATTTAGGGTTCGTAGCATAGGGTTCAAAATTTTTAACTTTATGCCGAGTTTGGGATAAGCGTCAACCAATCAGAGCGAAGCTAAAACGACGGGAAATTCTTTAGACGATTTCGCTGTCACATTGAAGGCGACGTTTTTTTTTAATATGGAACACATCGTATCCGAACGAAATAATGAGTTGTAATCGTATGCGAACGAAATAAAGAGTTTATCTCGCAAGAAATCTAGGATGATAACATGCATTTTTAAATGAGTTTTTCAATTTATACTGAAAAATATGGATGAAACTCGTAAAGCAAAAGTTAAGCTCAGGATTATGCATGCTGTGTATGATCCTGTAGATGATTGATCCCATCCAACATTTTTCATTTTAATGTACAATTCTTTAAAAAAGCACGATTGCAAAAATTTATTTCTGTGTAAAATTATTAGTTACTTTCTTTCTGTCTATAATTTTAAAAAAATTATTATTATAAATTTTTTTCCTGTTTAATTATTTTTGTATTTAAGAATAAATTTATTAAAAAACTGGAAATATTCTATTGCTATTGCTTCAAATGCTGATTTTCTTTCCAAACAAACTTCATGAATTAATTTACTAAAACATCAAATAAAGAATCTGCTGTTTTTTTAAACAGTAAAAATATTACTTTAAAGAAAAAAGAAAAATTATTTTCACTTATTTAAGAATAGTCCAATAGTCAATTCAATGGTGTAAGCTTTGTATAAGTAATAAAAGATTAATCTTTTGAGAAAATGCTCTTATGAATTCCAAGAAGGAAAAAATGTAGTGAAATATCCTTAAAACAGTCAAGAGTTTAGACAGTTTTGTCTCCTGTTGAAGTTCTGTTCTGGTTTTTAATTACGTTCTCCGTGAAAGGAATTTACTTTTAATGAAACTGAATAGCACACATAATTCGTAACATGGACTATAATTTAATAAATAGTATTTATTATCCACTCTTTATTACTATCATTTGAATGGAATTTTGATCGTTAAATTCATGATATTTCTCTGGTAGAAATTCCTGGATAAGGTATGAATGTTTATAATTTTGATGTTTTTGAAGACTCGGGTACCTAAAATTTGTCAATGTGAAATTACTTTTGAGATTTGGTCGTAAAAAAAATGACAGCATATGTTGAAATTAATTCAGGGGTGCGCTTATACATGCAAATTATTAGAAATAGGTGTATACAAACAGCTGGCAACACAGAAAATGTATTAATGATGAGTATAAAATACATGTTGGGTGAACGTCCTAGATTGTACTAGTTGTGGTTGCCGGTCATGTGACCAGTTGTAGGATAGTACTAGTGATATTCATACTGGTAGTGCAGCAAACTACTAGTGATCGACAGGACAGTGAATAAGGATGCTAAGCACACATGTTTCACTGTCATAAACTGTCCCTTTGATTGAAAATTAAAATAATAATAATAATAATGGGTAATACTGTTTTTAGCTTAACTGCTTTCACACCTGAAAAATGGAAAAATATTACAGGCTATCTGTTAGTTATCCTCAAGATTTTTTTAATTAGGGATTTAGAATATCGTATTTCTTCTAAAAGAAATTAAATAAAATTGAAGTTTTATATATATAAATGCATGTGCATGTTTTATAGGTATAGAGATTACTACAGTACAATGCAGAAATATTCCATACTGCTTTGCACAGAAATATATGTGATAACCAAGTATTGGTCTTTCAAAAAAATATCTCTCGACCATTTCGTTTTTTACCTTCTTCCGTTGCCTCTTGGCTAATGAGAAGGGCAGATAAAAGATCATTTCTGTTGAGCATGTAAAACTTTGTGGCGAGCTGGAAAAGCCATGACACAACGAAAAAACCAAGCAGAGCGAACGCGGGAAATCAATCGAGCGGGAGAACAGCGTGGGAAAGTTGTAGACATTCCACGCATGCGCAAATTTAGCTTCTCTCGTTGGCCACGGCTTACACATACAGGTCTCCCGTATTTTATGCCCTTATGACTATGCCTCTATGCGCTTTACGCCCACGTCTGAACGCACCTTTATGCACGAGTTTGTTTCAACTAAAGTCTTCAAATCATCGTCATCAACAGCTGAAGAGCATCCATGATGCTCTTGAACTTTCAGGTCAAATTCTCCACGACAAAACTTTTGTTATCACCGTTAAACTGTAGATTTATTAACACTTTCCTCACACTATACTTCGTTGACATTTAGAGCCGTTTGTGGTGCACTGTGGCCTAGCTTGTAGTCATAAAAGTAAATTTGCAGAAAATCCCGTTTTGACATCTAAACAAAAACACGTAGTAAATATTTTTGAAAATAATTTTGGAACAAAATGATATAGTATAAATATAGAGCAAAAATAGAGCTTCAAAATGATATCAATATAATTCAAAATATTTTTGTTGCTAAAAATGTACAGGAAAGACAAACAATTGCAAAAACCGGCATTATTTTCTGGACAACCTGATATATGCAAAGAAATATCACCTTGGATTTATATAAACCAGAAAACATAAAACTTTTATGTTTTTTTAAAGGTGATACATGTTTCAATTAACCTATTAACAATATTTAATAATTGTATCCAAATTGCGAGATTTTTAAATATGGATAGAATAATAATTATATTTTTTTAATTTACACTTAAATGCTTTACAAATTTATTATTAATAACCTAAAACATTTTATAATAATGATTTACATTAAAACTTAAAACACTTTATAAATTATTTCAATGCTCACAAATAAGCTTTTACTAAGACACAGTATGGATATTAAGTGAAAATATGCCATAAAATTAATCCAAAACTTACTTAAACATGTGTAAATTAAATACAGCATGTGACACACATTTCAAATTTACAATAATACAACAGTCAAAGCTCTTCTCAATATACAAAAATAAAATAACCTGATTCTATCTGGTGTTAGCATATCTAGCAAGTCACAGATCAGATCAGGCTTATATTCATGAAGTAAATAGTAACCACAAAGCACTTCTTCCATTGGATATTCCTGAAAACATTTACAATATAAACATAATATATTTAAAATAACTGAAATTACACATACATGTGTATTACACACAATAACAGCACATTTAATAAAAAATTAATATACAAATTTTTAGTTATGACTAATATTCAAAAAATAAACTCAGAATGAATTAAAATTAAACAAATGAGATACCAAGATCACTTATAAGTTTGATAAATTTTAAAAAATGACTAAACCAAATCTTGATTCAAAAATCATTTTTTTTTTTTTTTTAAATCTGATATACACTGCTCGACATTGAAAATGCAATACCAAGAAGGAGTGGTCAGAAAGTGATGAAATTTGGAAAAAAGAGACAATAAGCAGCAATAAGTGATCTTTATTTCAAAATGATAGTCAGAATACAGAGCAAGAATGGCGTCGGCTCAGTAGGATGGTGGACCACCACGGACAGCAATGCACGAAGAAATACGTCTAGGCATAGAGTCAATAAGAGTGCGGATGGTATCCTGAGGGATTGCTCTCCATTCCCTTTCAACCATTTGCCACAGCTCGTCTTCTGAATGAGGCAGGGGCAGAGTCTGCAAAAGGCATCCAATCACATCCCACACATGTTCGATTGGTGATGGGTCAGGAGAGTACGGTGGCCAGGGAAGCATCTGTATACCTTGTAGAGCAAATTTGCAGATGCGAGCACTGTGTGGTCGGGCGTTATCCTGCTGAAAAATTGCACTAGGCAACCCCTGAAGGTAGGGGATAGCCACCGGCCACAGTACATTATCCGTCATTGTGCCCTGAATACGAACTAGAGGTGACCTTTAATCGTAGGCAATAGCGCCCCAAACCATTATGCCTCGTTGTCGCGTGGCGGGACGGTCCACGGCTACTGCAGGATTAGATCTGTCACCACGTCGACACCAGAAATGTATGCGGCGACTGTCACTGGATAAACAGAAGCAGGACTCATTTGAGAACATGACGTTTCGCCATTCTGTCATCCACATTGCTCCAGTCTGACACCATTCTAAGCGTTAGCGTCTATGTTTTGGGGTCAATGGCAGTCTTCTTAGCGGACGCAGCGCGTGCAGGCCACGTTCAAACAATCGACAGAAAATGGTTCTGGTTGACACGGCAACATCCAGGGTATCTTGCACATGCTGCAGAATCCCGGTACAAGTGACTTGCGGGACTGCCACAGCCTGTCAGTGAACCCGTCGATCCCCGCGTGCTGACGTCACTCTGGCTGCACTTGGACCCCTCCTTCTTCCCACATTTTCTTGTTCCAACCATGTTCGCCATAGCCGATGCACTGTGCTCGCATCCATGTGGGTATCAGCTGTGATTTGACGTAAGGACCAACCCGCCCTTCTCAGTCCGATTATCATACCCCTCGTAAAATCATCTATCTGCAGAAAGTGCCTTTGTTGATGGCAGCCTGGTATTCTCTCCTATTACACGTATCCTCCGATAATTTGTCTTTCGAACAAACCAACTTTCTTCAATAATTTGTCTGGCAGAAATAACGACACGAATATTGCCCATTCTGCACGTTCCTTCCCTTACATCTTACTTCACGTGCGTCGGAGAGTTGCACATTTCACATAACTCAGCTACTCTAAAATTTGCATTAATTTCTGACCACTCCTTGGTGTTGCATTTTCAATGTCGAGCAGTGTATTGGTTCCAGTCAAAATTTTAGATTAAAAAATTAAAATTTCTCAAATAAATTAAGGGACACAGATTATATGTTGAATTAACTAATAGTTTACAATATACATATACCCCCCAAAAAAGAAGGAATGATACAAGAAAAATCAAAAATATTTTTCAATTATAACATATTTTTGAAAAAAATATTTGCTATATGTGTAAGAAATAACCACAATATTTCAGATATTTCACTAAAATTTTTCTTTCCCTTTTAATTCCAATGATAATACTATTTACATAAAATAATTTTTATTAACAATTTTGTTTACATTCAATAATTTAGATGATAATATCACTGCCAAAAAAAAGGAACTCAAATTAATAACTTTCATTTAAAAAAAAGGGGGGAGCACTGCACTTTTTACATTAAATCTTCTACTTACATACATGAAACTAGCCAAAGAACATGCATAACTCTGAGGTTTTTCTTTGTCCTTGTAACGAAAAGTCATAGAAGCAATATCTTTACATTCTTGAAATATCCAATGCTGTACACCTTCCAGTTTCATCATAGTTAAGTATTGAAACAACAGAGTTAAAATATCATCAGTATGTTCTAGAAGGAAACAAATTATTTTAAGAAGGAAAAGTTTTGTTTTGTTTGTCTTTAAATACAGAATGAGATGAAGGGTTTAAATAGTCTAAAAAATATATATATATATAAAATCAAACCTAATCCTTCCTCAGTTAAATCTAAGTTTATAACATAGAATGCAAATCCTTTGGCACCAGGCTTCCAACCTGCCACAAGATTATTTACCCAGCCTATATTTTAGGAAAAGAAACAAATGCTCCATTTAGCACTTTACATTACAAAATATTCAGAAAAGTACATCACATTTAATTAAAACAGCATTACTGAATATCAAGAAGACTTACTTTATAGCAAATTGAGTTAGAATGAACACCATCATGAATGAATGTTAGAAAACAATTTTAATGATTAAATAATTATTTTTCTTCATAACAGGCATTAATTATAAATTCCAAACATATTAGATAACCTTCATCTAATGAATTATCAAGCAGTCATTTGCAGCACTTAGTAATGCCGGCCGCCTGATTATTATTGGTATGCCATTTGTGCAAGACAATAATTTATCCTTTGTGAAAAAAAATTAAGAAACGGTAAAGCAAAAATGTTTAGATCCATAGATAATAAACTTACAGATAATCTTTAGATGAAGTTATAGTTATATCCATATAATCTAAAAGAGCATTCAATTAAGCAATAACTGTAGTACAAAACTACAATCATCAAAGCAAAAGTTTTAAAAACCCATAAATAGAAAAACAAAACAAAAAAAAAAAATGCGTTTTAGTTTTAAAAAAAGATAGCTTTTTAATTTAACACTGAGTGCCTTATTTGAGAAACCACACTTCAAATACTCCATTCCAAAAGCTTTTGGACTTTTACTAAGAAGAACATTAATTTTAGCTGTAACATAAAAAAGGAATCAAATCTTTGTATAAGAAAATACATTTTTTGGCTAGGTTTCCAATAACTGCAGCTAAGCCTAATAGATCTGCAAACAAAACCTTATATTCAAATTACCTTTTTTCCTATGACACATTATTCAAATTATATGATATTTACAACAATATAATGCAATGAACAACAGGACAGTGGACAGTGGATCTGGACAGGACAGAACAACAGGATTAGAATGGAGCAATTAGTAAAAATACATAAATAAGAAGCAGAACCTTATAAAATAAAAATATCAATTGTTAGGTCTGACTAATGAGAATGAGTGGTTAAATCTCATTTCTTCTGCAAGCTGACTTTTGTTTTAGTTTGTGTCCTCTAAAATGAAGTATAATGTTTTCCAAGAAAAAGAGATTTACCACACTCATTTAGATTACCACTTAAAATACTTCTTGGGGGGGACTGCAACAAGTTTACATTTAACTCTCATGTATTAATTCACAGTGCATAATGTTTTTAATACTAATTCATAATGAAATTAATACTTTTGCACTAATTCTCAATGAATTTATTATATTATCACTTAAAGGTTTTCTCTAAGCTAATGAAAATGTGGTGATTCCCCCTCAGGCTTCTCCTACCTACCTCGGCGAACAGCTGTGACTTCTGTCCCCCCCCAATAACTTTCAAAACTGTGCACATTTCATTCGGGTAGGATTTGAGAAAATTTCAGCTTCACTTGAAGCAGAAAACTTTTTTATTTGTTTATCACTGCCCATGTCACAGATCTGACATACAAAAGGTTAAAAAATTTTTTTGAAATTTTGCATGAGAACATAGTATGTCACATTTAAAGGGGGGTTAGGCTTTCTTGGAGAAATGGCTGCAAGTTATTACCTTCTCATTGGTTGGAGATAGCTTAAGAAAAAGATTTGAATGGGTAGAAATTAATTTATAGCTAATTCGAGCCAATAGTGAATTCAGAGGTGGTCTTCATTTTAGAGAAGCCAAGGTTTCTAAAAGTTGTTGCACGAGGAAAGGACTTTTTTTCACCATAAAGAAATTTAAAAAAAGTAATTACAGCCTCCCCGTGGCTTGCAAGCGGAGGGGCCTAACCAAGTTGTAGTACAAGTTCTCTTTGTGATCTTGTCTGCGATTAAGATGGAGGAAATGGGCTGGGGCCCGGGTTTTTCCAGATGAGGTTTTCTCCTCAGAGCTTTTTTTGTTCTTGAACATTCATTAATGCTTAGGTCTCGTCACAGGTCTTCAAAAATTGATAAGCACTTATGTGGCATTGCCTGAGATTTATTTTAAGTTTGGCTTGCAATTGTCTCAGAGACCCAATTGTTGAGTATCTAAACAGCGGTCTGTGTGCATGGACGATCTCAAATTTGAGGTCCGTTTCCAAGTTTATGGTTCTTACATCAGTGTTTCAGTGACTGAAGTTCTAAAATTTTGGACATTTATCAGAAATTGGACTTCCTAGTGTGTCATACTTGGCAGAGGTAATCTGTGAAAATCACAGCTGTTCACTCACAACTACTTACTGTGCACAAAAGATGAACAATGAATGAAGCTAATTTAGTGGGGACAGTCATAATCTCTAACTTCTGCAGCGATGAAGTATTTGGCCACATTTACAATTAGTACAAAGAAATTATCAACCTGAGCTCCACTGATTGATGTTCATCGACAACCATGGGTGAATTTTCAATTATTGTTTGTTGATACGCAGTTATTGATAACTAGTTGTATCACTCAATGATTTAAAAGTACTTTTAAACCTTACTTCATAATTAGCAAAATTTAAGTAACTATTGGAAGAAAAGAGAATATAATAATTTTGAGATGTTTTAGTCATAAATTTGGTAGGATTTGAAAAAAAAAAAAAAATTTGAAATGGGAAATTTCAGTAACTAAATGAGTTTTAGTGTTTAATGATAACTAAATAAATCATGGTAGAGTACTTTAAAAGAATAAATTGTTCATTACTCAGAATGTGAAATGTGATTATATTTAATGGAATAATGTTCTTGTAGGGACCTAGATCCAGTTTCCTCAGTTAATAGAATGTATACTAACTAGGAATAAATAGATGTGCTTCAACTGTAAATTTTTGCTTATGTTTATTTTACTGATGTCTCATGTCCCCTATGTGATCCGTAGGGAAAATATGGATCTTCTGAAAAAAACCTGCATAACTTATTGCAGTCTACATGTGGAAATTAATTATTGAATGCACTTTAATTTAATTACAAATTATAACAATTTTTATAGTCTGCTAATTTACAGTTGCCTTACTAAAATTCTTTTACAGATCACACCACATTAATCATGTGACCAAAAATAATTCCTTGCGCTTTATGCAGCTCAACATCTCTACTACTTACATTTCATATCTCATGTGTAAAGAAAGATGTTTTCCTCCATCTTCCCAATTTCTTATTTCTGGCCTTCTATTTCAATGTTTTCTGTCCTTACCTGCTATTTATTATTTCCTTACATTAGATTACTTTTAGTACTAGTTAGGCTTTAAATATTTTCCCTACTGGTTTGTAAATTTTTTGAAATAAAAATACTGTCACATAATCAATAGTTAAATACACTGTTTTCAGATGACCTTCAGGTTTTTCATCAATTTTAACACTGGTTTTAACATTTATATTAATGTAAATGTAATGTAATGCAATTTTACTAAAATTTCGATTACTCTGTAATTTTAAAAGACTTGAATACATTTGCAGTTTCCTGTATTATCCATAAGATTTTTTGCCATGTTTTTCTACTAAACTGGAGCAACTCGAGCATTGATAATTCAGAACTTCCAGTTGGTTTTGAAAGAAATTACTTAAATTTCTGACAGTTTGTCATCGTCTAATATAAAGCAAATACACATTTTCACAAATCAGGCATGAACTCAAAACTCCAATTTACTCTGAATTTGCATATAGTGTAAGCAGATAACAATTCATCAAGGAGTTAAAAATTTCTTAACTGAGAGTCATCTTCTATATTATTCAATACTGGGATAAGAAGCATGACTGGTCGGTTTATTTAACAAATATTTTTTGTTGCTGCCTGATATAATGACTCCACATTTTTATAAATGTATTTTCTTCTCTTAATTAAAAGTCACTTTTGTTTACTTACTCACCATGATGAAGAGAATTTCATTAATTTTGTACTTTTTCCTTAAAAAAATTCTTCATAGTTTTATATTAATTGCAGCAACTGTAAGCATGCTTTCAAATTAAAAAAAAAAAAAAAAATCTTGTCCATTTGCATCTAATGTATGACAATTATATAATACAATAGATACTATGAGAAAAGGCAAAAATGCTTTTACCTAGAGACTTCAACTCAGATAATAAACTTCCAGGGCCCTCATGGCCGATAAGATGTCCTATATACAGCCCAGGCTAGAAAATGCAATTATATAGTTGTCTTATTATTTAAGAAAAATAGAATGAATTGATTTTATGTTATTATGACAGATATTATGTAATCTTATATGGGGGGGAAATCAAACTGGACAGTCAATGGCATGCAGTAAAATTATATTATAAAATTAAATGTAAAATTTCTTGGTCTGTAATGTAACCATTTAAGATAAAACTGAATTTCCAAGGATATGTGCTTTGTTTAAACAATGCACTTAGAAAAAGTATAGATGCAATCTTATGATACACAAATACGAGGGCAGTAGTACTAAAAATAATGTTTACATATCTGACTTTCCACCTTTGAAGTATTTTTTACACTAGTTATACAGGGTTCGTACACATTTCTGCACACGGAAATAAGTACTTTTAAGGACCATTAATGAAAAAATTAAGGACCTATGAGCAAATAGGAACTAAATAAATTGAATTAAAAATATTGTTCTATGCCTGATTTTCATTTTTGCAATACCTTTCTAAAAATAAAATAGATCCCTGAGTAGTATGCATTATTACTAAACATGAATTAATTAGCATAATTATTAATAAGTTTGAGAATAAAAATAAACTGTATGAAATTTATCAAGTAGCATTAACTATTTTACACTTATAATAATAGTTGGACATATTTGAAAGAAGATAAGTGACATTTACGTTTTACTAATAGTTAGCTTTATGTCGATTTTTTTATGTCTCATTTTGTCACATACTTAGTCAGTCTAGAAGTTTAGTAAATAGCAGGCAGATTTTATGTCAAAAGGCATACATTAAAATGAGAAGTAAGATTATAATCAGCATGACTCATAACAAAAGATTGAAGGTTGTCACCGCTGTTGCTTGTCTAGAGACATTTCCTGCTCATTAGAGAGTCCTGCTCATTAGAACAAACATGAAAGGCCTGAATGTAGACACAGTTGGGAAAGTGTTGAAAGTTTAGTCAGGCTCTGTTTGATGCACTTAGTGTCATAATAGCTTTGTGTAGAGTTCCAAGGGGTTGTAGCCCAGTTAATATACTTTAATGTTCCAATAAGCGATTAAAGTACCAGAGACGAAAGGGTGTTTTGTATTATTTTTAAATTTCACTAGATGCAAAGAATAAGTTTTACTTAAATTTTTACATTTTTGTGTTTTATTTTGTGACCACAGTGAGTGTTAATGAAAGGCAATAACTCGCTTTAATATGTAGACATAATTTTTAAGGGTAAGCAGTTAGTTATAAGTAATTAAATTAGGTAATTAGATAACCTTAGTCATAATGGATTTACATGGCCACTATTAAATTTTTTTAACAATATTTGTTAAAAAAAGCCCTATAAAAATAAAAATCTAATAAAATTTCAGAGTTTAAAATACATGTAATTTATGACATTGATTCTTAAACGATATTAGGATAATTACACATTAAAAAGCTACAAAACATTTATGTTTTGTAACAACACTCAACAAAACATTTATCTATCATTTTAATTTGAAGCCTTCCGAAACATTTTGGCTAGTTTGTATCGATTTCCTTCTCTTTAGGCATATTTTCTAACAATTAGAGATTTGTCTCAATATGCAAACCAATGCTCTCGCTAGTTTCTGCGTGCTTATCTTCTAACTTGTTAACCTCTCCACAAGGTACCTATGAGGGTTTACTTGATCTGGTAAAAGTTAAATAGCCCCAAACCCTCGACTGAATCATAAACTGAAAGGCTGAAATCATAAACAACAGGTAAGTTACATAATAACAACTGCACATATCTTTGAAGAGTAATTTTCTTTATGTACTCAGTTTCTTTCTTCAACATGTTTCCTTTTCATTTTAGATTTTTTGAACCTAACTAAGGATTTCTGTTATTCTAAAAAAGCACTAAATGCATTTTGAATGTATAGAAAAAGTAGCTAATTTTATTTCTTTAGTAATATGAACATTCAGAAGAAATATGAAGTATATATGGTAAAGCCCGGTTACAAAGCTGATGTGGCAGAATTTTTAGAACTTACTGAAACACCGAACAACAAAATCTAGAATTAGCAAAACTTTTAGAATTTAGAGCAGGCACTGGAAGCAGAATTTAGAGCAGGCACTGGAAGCAGAATTTAGAAAGGCACTGGGCAGCAGAATTTAGGATCCACAGAGATTGCATCAGGTGGGAAATGCCTAGTGCCAGCTATGTGTTGATGCATTAAAATATATTAGATGAATCTTTTAAATTGTAAATTTTCAATTTCTTTATTAATAAAAAAATCCCTTTCTATAATGTCTGGCCACGTGATAAGATTAGAAGCAGTTTTGATATTTTCCATACTTGTGTCTAGTGAGAAGTAGAGAAAGTAAGGTGAAGATAAACATGTTAGGAAAATGATTCTAGTATCAGAAGTAAAACATTCAAATATTATGTTTTCATTGTTTTTTCCAGACGTTCTCGAAAAGGTAAGAAATTCACCGCAAACTTTCTGTAAAATACATCCATTACATGTTGATATCATGGAGACATTTTTCATTTTGTTACATATTCCTCGAATCTTCTAGAATCGTGGGTATATAAATCTTGCCTTCAAATCCTTCTAAACTTTCCAAGCTGCAATGTCTAAAATACTAGAGAAAAATTATCCCTACCAATTCTGTAACAGCAAAAAAACAGAAATATTTTGAAAAAAAAAAGGGGGGGATGTAAAAATTGTAAAATTAATTTTATAGAGAAAATTGATGCATATTCTGAGAATTTTGAATATTGTGAGATGGGGAAAATGCTTACTATGAAAAAAATTAAAGAGAAGATATTTTTAATTAATTACATATCTAATTTTGCTCTTGTTAAGAGCTGTTTCGTAAATTACGCTTTATAGCATTATGCCTTATTTTTCAGATTCATAATATTGTATAATAAGTTGCCAAAATGAAACTTTATAATATGACAGCGAAAAATAGAGATGTTTTATTTTAATGTTATTTTTTAAATATAATTTCAATATATTACCATTATTTTATTGAAATTTATCAATGTTGCGATGTTTTAAAAAAAAATCGTCTAAAAATTCTCAGATCTCGGAATTAAAAATTTTCTATAGAAACTTTCTTAAAATCGCCAAAATGTTGACAGGTCGCCAAATTTAGAACCATTTAATAAAAGAATTCACATCCCCAAAAGCGAAAAGTTGTTTAAAATTTCTTTATTAGAAAAAATGAATTTTGAAATGCTTATGTTTCACTTCTTCCTTAGAAACTCGAGTATCCCATCATTTATATTAGGAATAGAAACAAATTATAACCCATTCAAAAGATAACCATATGTGTCAGTGAATCGCCAAAAATATTCCTCCAAAATGCTAATTCACACTCAAAATGGCAGTCATAAAAATAGTCAGAAATTTCAGATGATTAAAATTAAGGAACAACTGCTGATTTTGACCAAAATTACCGTATTTGACGGCATATAAAACGCACCCTTATTTAGAAGGCCACACACAAGGAAAAAAAGTTTCAATAGTCCACCACAATAACTTAAAATGTGGTTTCTTTTAGTTCTCATGTTTCGTAGAAGCCAAATAAACAATCACTGAATGCAATTACCAAACATATTTTTATTAAAGAAAATTAACAAACGGCAAGCTATTTTGAACATGGTATGTAAATTTCAATAATGAATAAATGAATAAACGGCAAGCAATCAAACATAATACAAAATAAAGCAGAAACAACAAAAACACAGATTCAAGGAAAATGTTGCCTATCATGAAATTAGACTTTAATCACTTTCAAAACCATAAAAATCCTTTTGACTATCATCATCGTCGAAAACAAAAATATTGTCATCACTACTGTTTCTGTCATTGCTACTATCACCTTCTTCGAATAATGCATTGTCTTCTGTTCCGTCAAGAGCATTAATGATTCCGCACTTCTTAAAGGACTTAACAATTACTTCAGCCTTTACGTCCTCTTAAGATCTTTTTACTCATTCGCACAGTTGAGAAATAGAGGGCCGTTTCATTCTACCTGAGGGTGTGAGAGCGTGATGTGGCTCTCCTATCCACTTGCTCTATCGTTCTCGAACTTTTTCCTTAAATGGCTTATTCACTGATATATCTAAAGGCTGCAATTGGCTAGTCAGTCCACCAGGAATGACAGCTATCTGGGTTTTTAATTATCTCGCTTTATTCTTTATGGTTACATTTCTATGGGCACTAAACTGATCCAAAACCAAAAGAGAGGGTTACCGACACGTTTATACACCAATACTGACACCTGTGTCGGCTGAGTCAAAGAAAGTCTATGTAAAGAAGGATTGGCTGCATAGACGTAATGTGACCGTCGAACCTGTTCGAACTTCAACATCAGCTTTAAGCTTTGGCGCATTTTGGCGACAGATATTTCCCGCATGCACATATAATTATGGCAGATGTAGAAAAAGTTATGTGTGTCTAGACCTTTATCCAGGCTAAAAATAGCATTCAGTATTGAAAGTTAACCTGTGTCCTTCACGTATAAGACGCAGGTAACTTTTTTCAGACCAAATTTAGGAAAAAAAGTGCGTCTTATACGCCGTCAAATACGGTACGGACTTTTAAGGACCAAAAATCGATTCCAAAAATTTAAGGACTCTTAAGGACCGTACAAACCCTGTTATACAGTTTTCAAAGAACTTTCTCCTGTTTCAACATATAAAATTTTAGAAAAAACTAGAAACTCCTAATTACAGGCTAATATTTTCCTTGCATTTGAAAAATGGCCTGTAAATCTTGTTTCGAAATCTATTGATCTACTAAGAATGGAGCTTAAAGTCAACTTTTATCATTAATTCAGTTTTAAGTTCTCTAACAATGCATGTGTGAGGAAAAGAAAGGGAAGCTTCTCAATTATATTAAAATAAGAGAATTTCAAATATAGATGAAATTTATATTATCATATATCTATGACATTTTAAATAATTATAATAAATATTTAAAAAAACACAACAGCCCCAAAATTTTAAATACAAAAAATAAAATAAAAA